GAAGATCTCCACATTGGTTTCAGGTTAATGAACGTCAGTTTCCCTTTTCCAATCCTGGCTTTAACGTCCTCATCAGTGCCGCCGCCTGTAGTCGAAACAGTGCTGACTAGGTAGGTGAAAGAGACTACTTCCTTCAAGTTTCTCCCATTCATGGTGATTGGAGATGGTTGTTGGTGGTGATGGTGTTGGTTGGGTATCTCCATCACCTCCGTCTTCTCTACATTAACTTGAGGTCCCGTTTTCGTTGCCTTTTATGTCAACTTGTTAGTTTTCGCCTGTACATCTTCAAGTTTGTGTGACATTAGACATAAATCATCATCGGCGAAACCCAAATCTTCTAGGATCTTTTCCCCAGTCCAGCGTATCCTCCTCTTCTCACTCCTCACTGTTTGTTGCATGATCCAGTCCACCACAATCAGGAGTATCATGGATGATAGTGTGCAGCCTTGTCTTACTCCTGTCTTCACTTCGAAAGCATCACTATGCTTCCCACCCTGAATTACTTGGCATGTGGAGAATTCACATAGTCGTTGAATGAGATTGATAAAGGTTTGTGATATTCCGTAGTGTTGAAGTAGCCGGGAAATTACTTCTCGGTCGACGCTGTCAAGGGCGTTTTCAAACCTGATGTAGTTGAGTTGACTGTCATGCTATACTCTGTTCTATGATGATGTACACAGTAGCGTTTCAATTTGGTCCACACATGATCTGTACTTCCTGAATCAAGCCCGTTCGGGTCGTAGTTTTGAATCTAGCGCATCCCTTAGTCTCTCCAGTGCTGGTTGCTGTTGTCTGTAGAATTCCTCCTTTTCTTCAGCTGCGTTACTTGTAGGTGCGTAGCAGTGTACGATTGGTAATTTTTTCCTTTTGAGTTGAACCTTGCTGTTATGATCCTGGAGGAGACTGGTTCCCACTACATGACAGTTAGACTTTGATGCTCTTTGGGACTCCAACATAGCCACTCCATAACTCATTGTGCTGGTGGTTGTCGTCTGGGTGACAATATCGGAGTAGATTATTGACTCTGCAGTCGACAGTTTGGAGAATCCACTTGCATTCCATGTTCTCTCGCAGATTCCTAGCACTGCAATGTGGTACCTTCTCATTTCCTTGGCAATCTTGGCAGCCTTGCTAGGTTTAGACATGGCGCAGACACTCCATGTCTCCATTTACACTTTAGCTTTCATTGAGAGAGAGAGGACATATTGGCCAACTGGCTTCCAGAAAGCTTTCACCAACCGGCGTCATTTCGCCTCTCCGACTCCAGCGAGGGATAAGTTCGTTTTATGTTTCATGTTTTGTCTAAGCTGTAAAGTTTCTGTAGCGGTTGGATTGGTTTTAGGGGGTAGGGTTACTAGCCCTGCCCCCAACCTTCCCTGTTTATGTGGGCTTAGGACCGGCTAGTAATTAGTGGACTAGTTAACCAGGCGAGGTTATGTTCAAAAATAATGAAATGTTATTATGAAAGACGTGCACGGAACATTGGGAGAAAGTAAACTGAACAACGTTTGGTGAGAGTGTTTTTCAGTTCAAAGTCTACAAATAAAGCGGTGTGAACAGTGTTACGGAGTACAACAATAAGTTAAAGACTAAAAATCTGTCATAACAGCGTGAAGGCCACGTTATTGCGAAATAAGCAAAAAATTAGGGTTGAAACTTGCCTGCTGGAAAACTCCAGTGCTTACGTGTTGGAAGACCCCTGTTTCGCAGAAAATATTGTTGTTAATCTGGACATCTTTTTAAGTCGTCCATGTGACGCCATTTTCTTTAACTTGGTAAGTGGTTTGTTTTCGGCCCCTGTCAGTAAGGCAATTGGCTGACTGGCCAGCGCCTACTATTTTAATGTCTCAGAGTCCACATAAGGTCATGTCTCATCCGTATACATACCCATGCGCGCTCGAAATGATTGACCATTATCCCAGCAGGCATAAACTACCCTATCCAGCTTGATCTTCTTCGCCATTCATCCTGGGCTGGAGTTAGTGGTTTTGCTTACGACGTTAGCTTTAATTTAAGCGTGCCTATTAAACCCACTCGGAATGTATGAGACTACTCAAGTACACGTCTTGGAAACTTTGAAGGCGGATAATTCATGTGATTTTGTGGCCCGGACGAGAAAATACATGATGCAAATTTTGATCGCGTCACTCAAGCATCGTTTCTTCAAAAATAAAATAGAATCTCTGCGCACATAGAGTTGAGAATACTGTTTAACGTGCATTTTGGAGTGTATTTGATGAAGTTCAGACACAAGAGAGCACCAAAGTTGTGGGCACACAAGGAAATTGATAAATTTCCGGGGGGTTGGTTGATGAGCGTGGTTGATGGAGTGTGTGAAAGACTGGATGAACCATTCAACTTAGGGCTGTTTTTCGAAGTCACAGTGTCGAGCTCACATGGGACCAATGTTTGACTTGAACACATTCAAGCAGAGGTGTTCTTTCTCCCAAAGAATACTACGTGAGAAAAATGGCAGGGAGAAACATATGCATGAACCAGACTTACGTTAGACACTTTATACACGATATAGAGCTGCGAATGTTGAAATGTAATCAATGGTGCTCTTCACCAGAGAAGTAAATGATATACGCCATCAACTTAAGACGGATAGAAGCAGAAAAATTATCGAAAAGGATCCGTCCGATCTAACGACTCGAATCTCAGAACAGTGGACGTAGTTCTCGGCAAAACAGTGGTAGAAAGGCGGGTTTATGAATACGGCCACGGGCCCAGTGGCTAGAAATTCCCGATTTTGGTACAATATATCAACGCGCCGAGAAGTTTTCTGAACACGGGCAGAGCAAACACTTTCCCCACCCAAACCTTTCGAACTTGGTTGGAAGGACAATCCCATCGCCCAAAGAGAGCAGATAACTCTGGCTTTTGTGATGTGACCGAGCTACCTAACGCTGGTTGTCCTAGGATATCTGTCGCACCCCTATCAACCACGTCGTCGGTCCAGTAACCATTTAGATGTTAAAGCCCCTCACTGTGAAACAATGATTCTAGCCTTCCTACGGTAATAGAAAAGATGTTAATAATAATGCTTATTTCTGAAGCAGACAGAGCTAGTAGTACCCATAACTTCAAGTCTCAAAATATCCAAGTGGAACCGGCAAACATGAGTGCCCAACGATTCCAGTGAGTTTCCCTAGCGGCATCACTAGCCCCACCACATAACCTGCAAAGATGAAACCAGCTATTCTCCGCGAAGAAAATATAGACAACGGGGACCCCATTCGTACCGAGTCAAACTCTATTTATGTGGAAAGGATGTGCGCACTTAGCACCCTAACTAAGGAAATATTCGTTTCCCCCTAGAATGAAACCAATGCTATTTCAAATCACTTCACAGTTTACCTAAAACTGTCGTGAAATATTCAACATGGTATTTCAGTAACCATATGACTACAAGTGACCAGGATGTGGACACATGGCGTAATGCAATGTCACCAGGCCACGCTTGATCAAGCGATACCGAGCCACTACTCAGTCTGCTCGAAGAATTGGAAAGTTGCACACATCACTTCTCCTTCCACCTGTACATTGTCCTCACAGATGCATGGTCTATCTATAGATAGTATAAGACATCCTTCCCCTCTGCTGCCATTACTTAATAGTTTGGGGCCATCATCTTCAGTTTTGAAAGGGGTTAGATCTAGTTCCCGCTTCATGAACTCTTCAATGATTACACATAATGAGTACGCAGTTTTTTATTACTGCTCTCGGTGTGCGAAACTTCAGTTCACTGGACCTCTCCAAGTCAAGGCACGAACCATTCTCAGCCAACTAGGACTTTAACTGGAGTGTCCTAGATAACTCCACCTAACCTGTTGCCCCCAAATTTGGTGCCATTAGCAAACGGAAGTGTAAAAGAGTGGGCTTTCACGGGAAGACCACTTATTAATGGTTGGGACAGAAGGGGTTGAATGATCTTTCCTTCGAATAGGCATATCCCGGTGCTGCTTTAGGTTGATTGAGTTCTGTTGTCTTTGATGCAAAGCCTTCTGTCTCCTGGTTATGCTTCAAACTAGGCCACAAACAGCTCAGAGGTGTCAGCTTTGTTGCCAAATGTTAGATTTGACCTTATCGATTGCTCCGTGGCTTCTCCAAACAAACTGACCTACAATTGGCAGAAGAAAACCTTCAAACGGATAATCATTACCTCCAAAGATATTAACAAGTAAACTGGAATGACTTATATAGCCAACGAAGCATAACCGAACGAGGAAAACCGATCCTCAGGGCCTGGAGGGAACAGATGAAGGACCGAAACTCTCCTTTAGTTCCACCACTACCTCTGAATCCGAACTAATTTGATATATGAGTGGGATCTGCCCAAAACCGGTTGGATTTTCACACAAGCCCTAAGAACTAGACGCGAGAGATCAAAAACTACCAGTTTTCTACGCTTGCACTATCAATATTGGATATTAGATATTGGATTAACCACCTCATTTTGCTGTCTCTTTACCTGTACATAGGTTAATATCTACGAGAAAGAGTGATCCAAAGTTTCTAGAGGTTGAAACCAGTTTAGTGAAAGGTTCTGAGGTTCTGTCAACAACTATGTGAACCATCTGAACGATTGTTGTTAGTTGTTGTATGGCGCCAGGTTCTGTTATTGCCGTACTGTCAGCATTCCGTTTTCAGCTGTTTAAGTTATTACTACTTCTCAGTGACAATAACCACATTCTCGAATTATGTGGGAGCAACTAATTAAGAAATGAATTGGCTTTCGACACCTTCGAGGTGAGTCTGAAGTTTCTACACCGCACAAAACTCCTTGCATGTATGCTAACTGGCTATTATCATGATAGCCAATTTGAATTACGGGTTGCCGAATCTAACTGAAACTACCCTGAAAGAATATTCTGCGTAGAAATTGGCTTGAAAATTTTTTTCACTGGTGTTATAGTGGATTGCAACGTAGATACAAAACGGTAGCAATTCTCTAGTTAACTAAGGGAATTTAAATAGTTTTTTTGTGGTGTAGAAATTTTGAACTCATCTTTAAAACAACATTAGCTACATTTTTCCTGAGGTAGTGGCGTTACTATGGTCTTCCTGTCGTATGTTTTACATAGTTTGTCATGTAAAATCTGAGTACAAACTCATTTTTGGCAGCCACCAAACATACAGGGACTCATGTCGCGTATGTACAAAAACAATGATTGTCGGGACATGTATCAGATATATTGTTGCGTCTTAATAGTTGAATAACTTAGGGTTGGGCTGCAGGAAAGCCTAGAGTGACCAGACCAAAACCTGGTGTCGGCAGTCTACACGCCGTTCTGAGGTTCTCGAGGTAATTTATTACTGTTTGTCCCTTGGGTCCGTAGTGGAACACAGGGCTTCAGTAGCACGTCACCATTTCACTCTCTTCTCTGCAGTCTTTTGAGCCTGTCTCCACAACTGCTCAGAATCTTTCATTTCTTCCTTACACCGTCTCCTCCAATTTAACCTCGGACGCCCAACTCGTCGTTCCCAATGCGGATTCCACTCGAGGACCTGGCCTGGCGCGTGATGTCCCCAATCGGTCTTCTCAGTAAGAGCCTTCGATGCTTTTGTGGACATCATGGTAGCGTAGTGTAGCGTTGTATGATTATAACTTTCTTTCCTTTTGAGTTGAATCTTACTGTCACGATCCTGCAGGAGGTTGATAGCCACTCGAAAACTCAGTGTGCTCGTGGTTTTCGTCTGGGTGACAATATCGGAGTGGATTATTGACTGTCGAGTTGACAGTTTAGAGAGTCCGCTTGCATTCCATCTGCTTTCGGAGATTCCTAGCTTTTCTATGCTATATCTTCCCATCTCTTTTGAAATATGGGCAGCCTTGTTAGGTTGATATGTTGTGTGGACATTCCATGTCGCCATGCTTACTTTTGTTTTCATCGAGTGGAGAGAAGATACATCGGCCAATTGGCCTCCCGAAGGCAGGCTTTCACCAACCGGCGTCATTTCGTCTCCCTGATTCCAGTTTTGAAGTTTCTTTAGCGATTGGATTGGTTTTCCAGAATGAGGTTGCTAGCCGTATGCCCGACGTTCCCTATTTATCCGGGCTTAGGACCGACTAGTAAATAGTGCACCAGTTAAGCAGGTGAGTAATATAACTGGGAACCGTTCACAATGGTACAGATGTCAACAATTTGTCTTCAATGCTTTGAACACTTCGTTGACCATCTACTTATTCTTCCTGTCCTTATGCACATTCGTCTACCACCTAATATCTTTCTGTGAGCTTGTATAAACCAATTTCTTTACTCTCGCTTCTAGGTCTTAGTATCCCTTCTATCCACTTTCTTGTATGCTGTTGTGAAGTGACACCATTTGAACCAAAGCAGTTCTTTACTAAGCTGTACGTTGATTTGTCTCCCTGTCTTGGTAGTCTCAGGGGTTGACATATCTATCTAATCTAATGTAAAGGATTGTATAACTGTGACCAGCAGATCTGCGTTAAACATGACATCTTTCATCGTCACCTCTTCAGAAATTGCCAAGTAAAAACTGTAACGCCTTTTGTAAGTGGGAGTTGCGCTTAAAGTGTTAAGATTCTAAATTATGACTTTAAAGTCTTTCCGCTGCTATCTCGGTATTCAAGAAGTTTCGCTAACTAACACCAAACAGGTGTGTAGGTACCAAGTAATATCTACCATATTCTTTGCATTCATATTCTCATTCATCCAAGTGCGATTAGAAAACGGGCATCAAGTTGTCAGCTTTATCATTCATTACACCACGTAGTGCTGCCCACGTAGGAACTTGTATCCTGAACTAATAATTCAGTCAAAACAACAGGACCTTGCATACTGGTTCAAGCTGATGCGCTTTGCCATAGCACAGGAAAAACTGACTTTATAAATAAAGATAAGAAGGATATACGAGGAGAAGAGACTAATAAAGTATTCTGAAGGTCGCAAAGAGTGAGTACACGCGTATCTGTTGTAAGTTTTGATCTATCATGGATTAGTTTTGTCTGTCGAGCACCAAGTGGCTTGCAGTTTCATACAAAGCTCCGATCAAAAGTTAATAACTTCACTGAATGATAATTTTTCTTTACCAGACGGTCTTCAGCTTCATTTTACTCTAATTTAACACTAGCTGATAGCGTTTACTTGGATAGGTATACGTGATAAATACTCACTTCAATTCCTTACTTCCTCTATTGACTTTTCTACCTTGCTTAGACTAAATATAACTTTTTATCTGTACCATATACAAGTATTCATATTCTTGTCACTGTATCCAGCGGTATATTAATTCAGGATAAGAATATATGATAATAATTAGCTATCTAAAAATGTTTTTCATGCAATTTTGACGATCACAGTGCTCACTCTGTTTCGAATCTTAGTGTTTTCTATCTTTTCTTTTCAGATTGTTCATTTTGTTTCAAAGGGTGATTCGACTTGACTCTAGAATACACATCTATCTTTACGTACTCCAATCAGTTAAATTATGTTTCAACCACCCTCAACATCTCAGTAATTTATTGTGTGATTCTGTTACTTTTGTTAGCAATTCATCAATCAAAGCCTCGCTTTCAGTACTAAACGTTCTTAAACATATTATCGAGTCAGAGGAATGGTGTGATTTAAAGTAACTGTTTTATTTCTAACGGAAATGTAGAAGCCTAATAAGTTTAATCATAGAAAGATGGGGTAGTTTGTATAAATATTCTGATGATAACACCGTGATTCTGAATACAACACTTAGAGTGTTGAAAGTTATTCGCGAAGAAGCCCTTAAGTATGTGTTTTCATTTTCAATGTATCATACCAATATGTAGATTCCAGATGGGGGAAAACGCCGATTTTGAGGAGAATTTAACGGTTTGTTCATTTTCAGTCTAACCTTTTGCAGAATCGACTTTTTGCTGTCGGGGATGAAGCTTATGAAACAGTTTCACGATCTGATATTCTCGAAGCTATTGTCAACACGATGGATGATTTGGCTCTTGAGATAAAGTCCTGTTTGACAAGCCTAGCTGACTTATCTCTAGATTTCATCCACTCTGATGAACTTATTATGACTTCAGGATATTCCAAGGCAGTTCACCATTTTCTGCGCGTATGTTTCATATACTTATCACCATGTTTTAGCATGCAGCAAAGAAGGGCAGAAACTTCAAAGTTATAATATGTGAATGTTATCCGGACAACTTAGTAATAAATTAATAGTTTTACTTACTCTTTAAAGGGACACAAGCTAGCTGAAGAATTATCAAAGGATAATGTGGATGTTATTTTAGTTCCCGATAGTCACGTCTTCGGTTTAATGTCACGGATAAATAAAGTAATGTTTGTGCAAAATTCTGATTTCCTAGGTGATTGTAAGCTGCCATGCTGTATACCCTGATGGGACATTAAAAGCCACAGTGGGAATATATGGTGTTATGCTTGCTGCCAAAAGCTTTTCAATCCCGGTAAGTCATACGTTTTGATACTAGCATTGTCTACATATGTGATAATTACCTAATCTGGACTTCTTGGTTATGGTGTGTTGACTGTGGTTAGTCTTTCCCTCCTTTTATTTGATTAAATCAGACTTGTAGTTAACTCCCTATAAGCCACTAATTATCTGGTGAACGTGCCGTATTACTGTGTCTTTTTAACTCAAGCAATCGTATTGTTGTAAAAACATGGTAAGCCATGACCAGTGTTAACCTTCTGAAACGTTATATTCATTCTTATTCAAACTTATGGTAGATGTAGTTTTGGGGGTCGCACTTTTAGTTTTACTTCTTGTCAGAAATCGGTCGTCTCAAGAATCAGTAATGGCGCCGATAAGTAAATCTAGTCATATTATTATTATTTGTCCCTTGGGTCCTTAGTGGGACATAGGGTTTCAGTAGCACGTCGCCATTTCACTCTCTTCTCTTCAGTCTTTTGAACCTATCTCCACAACTGCTCAGAATCTTTCATTTCTTCCTCACACCGTCTCCTCCAATTTAATCTCAGACGCCCAACCCGTCGTTCCCAATGCGGATTCCACTCGAGGACCTGGCCTGGCGCGTGATGTCCCCAATCGGTCTTCTCAGTGTATGTCCCATCCATCTCCACTTTCTTCTACATATTTGTTGGGCGATGGGTTCTTGAGCGGTTCGTTACCAGAGTGAGTCCCTTGTTTCTTATTCTTTCTGGCCATCTGATCTGATCTTTAGCATCGAGCGTAGGTAACAGCTGTTGATATATGAAGTCTGCAGTTTTTTGGAAATGCTTTTTGTGATGCCCGAAGTCTCCGCCATCACACAGAAGCACTGACTTGACTGACGTTGGTGTTGAAAATCCGGATCTTGTTCACGCTTTATGCTGAGTGCAGTGCAGTTCAATACATCTCCATACTGATTTCAGGTTAATGCAGGAAGGCCTGTCTTGCTGTCTTTCCGATCCCGGCTTTGATGTCCTCATCTGGGCCTGTGTCGCCTGTAGTTGAAACGGTACTGCCTAGGTAGGTAGATAGGTGAAACAGACAACTTCCTTTAGGTTTCTCCCGTTGATGGTGATTGGTGCTTGTTGTTGTTAATGCTGTTGTCGGTTGGGTACCTTCATCACCTCTGTCTTCTCTACGTCCATCTGAAGGAAGTCCTGTCTTCGCTGTCCTGCCTCTTCTGTCAACTTGTTGGTTTTTGCCTGTAGATCTCCGAGCTTGTGCGACATTAGACATAAATCATCATCGGCGAAATCCAAGTCTTCTAGGTTCTTTTCCCCAGTCCAGCGTATCCACCTCTTCTCGCTCCTCACAGTTTGTTACATGATCCAGTCCACTATAATCAGGAAGATCATGGGTATAGTAGACAGCTTTGTCCTAATCCTGTCTTCACTTCAAAGGCATCACTGAGCTTTCCATTGTGAATCACTTGGCATGTGGCGTCTTTATCTAGCTGTTGAACGAGATTGATAAAGATTTGTGTCAGTAAAATCGCAGTGTTGAAGCAGTTTCCAAATTACTTCTTGGTCGACACTATTGAAGGCCTTTTCAAAGTCGATGAAGTTTATGTAGAGAGTTGACTGCCATTCTATGCTGTGTTGTATGATGATGCGTAGGGTAGCTTTGCAATTTGATCTGCACATGATTTGTTCATCCTGAAGCCAGGCATCCAGCCTGTTCCGGTCACAATTTTGAATCCCGAGCATTGTTTAGTCTATCTAGGATGATGCGGCCTAATTTTTGCCTGGTGTGGACAGGTGTGGAGCATAATTCCTCGCCAGTTCTTGCAAAGACCTAGGTCGCCCACCCTTGTTTGGGAGTTTGACAAGGTAACCCTTCTTCCAACCAATAGATGGGTTCCTTCTCTTACTTCCAAACCTTCTGTAGTAGTGGTTTGAGCATGTCTGCTGTTGCCTCTGCGCCTGCTTTCAGTGCTTCTGGTGGCATTCCATCTGATGCTGCTGCTTTCCCGGATTTCAGCAGCTTTATGGCGTTCAGGACTTCTGCTTTTGTCGGAGGACTTGTGTTCACTGGTAGTTCTGCCGTTGGTGGTGGTATATCTGGACGAGTTTTCAGGTGGTGGTGGTGGTGGTCGATCCAAGAGTTTTGTGAAGTAGTCTGCCCATTGTTTCCTTTGTTTCTTCTCTTTGGTAGCTAGGTTTCCCCCACTATCTTTCATTGGTTTCATCTGCGTTGATCTCTTCTCCGATAGTATTTTGGTTATTTGATACATTGTTGTCAGATCTCTGTCTCTCCTACTTGCAGCCTGTTCTGCTTCACTTGCAAGTGTGTCGTCGAAGTGTCTTTTGTCTCTGCTCGCACTCTTCTTCACTTCTTTGTCCAGTGTGGTGTTTTATATGTCGTACTCAGTTGCTCTTCTCATCGTTCATCCTTGCACTGGTTTATCTTCTGCTTCACCATCTTCCTCTTACTGGTCTATCAGCTTCCATGTGTCCATCGAGATCCATTCCTTGTCTTGCTTCTTCTCCCTTCCTAACACGGTTATGTAGGTTTCCTTTCAAATCTCTTTCAGAGAGTTCCAGTGTTCTTCAACACATGTTTCTTCACGAATGTTGCTGAATGTCCCCCATTTTGTCCTGACGACTGACTGACGTGAAGATGTCCTTTGTAGTTTCATTCTTCAGTTTGTGTTCTGGGTGTTGAACTTGAACTGTGGTCGTCTATCACCAACTTCTTTGAAGGCTTCCAACTTGATTTTGTAGGTAGGTTCCTTGCAGTAGATAGTGATTAGTGTGAACCTACATTTGCTCCCCTTCGGGATCTTGTGTCCAGTAGGCTGACTGTGTCTCCACCTTCTTCAGATTGAGATGAAGTCGGTGTGATGTTTAGTGTAGTGTGCCCATCTGGTGAAATGAAACCCATGTCGTTTGCTTTGTGAATATCTTTGTGTTTGTACACAGTGTCTCCAATCACCAAATCGTTGAATATGCAGAAGTCTGCAAGCAGCTATCCATTCTCATTCATCATTTCATTGAGTGCTTCTCGACACATGATGAGTCCTCTTCCTGTGTTGTCTGCTCCCAGTTTGGCATTTATGTCACCCCACCCATTAGAATTTTGATGTCGCCATCTTGGGTGGGGTCTTGTGAACTACTGATTGCAGTTGTGTATTGAATTCCTCCTTCTCATGATCTGCGTTATTCGTAGGTGTGTAGTGTAGTATTGTATGATTGTGACTTTCTTTCCTTTTGAGTTAAATCTTGCTGTCACGATCCTGCAAATAGGTTAATTGTCCTTAAATTGGCATAATCATAACTATTTGTCATATAAAATCACTTTAAAGAAAGTAATCGCCGTCCGGTTAAGATTAGATCCAAAATTAATGTAGATTTCCTAGAGATTTTTTTTTCTTCAGTAACAACATTGTGTAAATATTTCAGAAAGCGTGTTTCAATATGTATTTAGTGTAATTTATAACTGTATACGAAGTTTATAGAAAAATCTAAATCTTAAGTGTATTGTCAGTAAATTTTTATTGATAAGTTTATATACAATGATTTTAAGTGAATCGTACGTGGACTAAGAAATTGTCGCTTTTAGTTAGTTGCTCAAGGGTATTTGCTATCTGTTTCTCTGCTTTACCATTTAAGTCTGCACACCACGTTTTTATGGTCTAGCTAAAGTACACAAACCTAAACACCCTCTTCGTTCAGTTTAGACATATCTAACTCACCATGCCACGCAGTTGCAAAGTGGCTAGCAAGAATTTTATATCCCTTTCACAAAAAGTATTAAATCACAGCGTGAAAAACGTCTTCAAATTTATTTTTAGGTTAAAAAATGAGAATATAAACGAGAAACACATGGTACCGCTTGATATCATTAATTAGCAGTGTGCCATTATTGGCGACAGTAGAGTTTGTATGTCAAAAAATATCAGAAAGGCAGATCAGTATCGTGATTCCACTACATATTCTACTACCTTCTGCTTTTAACCAATTCTTCTTTGCTTTATTTTTCATCTTGGTACTTTCTCGCTGGACATTTTGGTATGGGGTGTAACCACTCGAACTGTTAAGCATAGTGCTTGGTCATATGTTAGTGTTAATTTTTGATTGAGTGAGCGTTGAAATTCCCTGCTATCATGACGATGTCTGAACTTTTTGCTTTATGTAGCAAAATTGTCAAATTTTGATAGAATGCTGTGGATATACCAGCAAGTTCATTGAATCCCCTGACACTCGTAAAGTGAAATTTTAAGATTCACCGCATTAGTCAAGTAAGGTTAAGTTAATAACCACACTCGAGTCCCGTTAACGTTTCTCAGAAACATAGTATATATCCGCGGCTCAAAATTCCAGAGTTCTAGCAAGAGATTCGTGCTGTCCGATTAGGCATCATACATCACACTTTGCAGGTTCACCATTGTAGAGGTACTCCACATTTAAAGTTCCAAGCATACCTGAATGTAATATTTCATCACTCCACTTTGTAATGCTCGTAAAAGTAGTTTCACTTTTTCAGACTGTGTGCAGTCGTTTTACTGCACAAAATCCCACGTAGCGCACTTGGTAAACCACTCTACAAGTAGCATAAGTCTCTCTTTTGAACCTACTTGCCAACTGAATTGTGTCTACTTTTTACTGCCTGCAGACGAGTCACACCCCTCATCGACTTGAACTTAGTAATTGGTGGTCCGCGATGTTAGTTAGACAACCACAAAGTAATAAGTTTTAGATAATTTTTGAACAATATAAGAAGCAAGCCATTTGCAGAATAAAACGAGCTCGTTTATTTCGCAGCCTTTCATCAGCTGCAAACAGTCTACATTTGAAATGAACTACTAGTAGTAATAATGACATAACACAGGATTAATCATCACAAACTTTGTTCAGAACCAATGGCAATTTATGTTTGATGAGATAGGAAATTCTGGAGCTGTGGAAACGGGGGATTGTTAAGTAGGTCACGTAATTACGTCGAAAAACGTTAGGCTGAGTGGTTAACAGTTAGTCAGACAGTAAGTAAGTAAGTAAGTAATGAGATTGTACAATCAACAGAAGGAAGACTATATAAATACACAGGCAAAAATTCATAAACAGTTACCACGGTAAAGAAAGGTTAATTACAGTCTTTTTTGCTGAGTACATGGATCAGGTTAAAAATATTTGATAGTGAGAGTTTTCGCTAACCGTAATACACAAGGCATTCTTTATTTGTCGATTATCCTGAATGATTGAGAAACATCTATTTGATATCCTGTTCCTATCAGGCGCGTGGTAATTGAGCTGGTAAAGATGTTGCTACCTCTCAGACACAGGTCTCTCGGAATATGTCCATAAAACTGAGTAGACGCTCTTCTTTTGGTCCTTCCCATGTATTTGCTTCCACAAGCATAGGTGAATTGATATACACACTACCTTTTTACTTGATGTGCTGATATGAGGTGTGGCAACTCGGACCGTCACGCAGTAATGCCTGGTCCTATGTTGATAATGATGATGATGATACACAGTTGGAGGTAACGTGAGATCGGTATTTGTCTACTTTCGACTGTGTCATTAAGCATATTATATTGTGAAATGAGGTCAGTCTTGCAGCAAGGAAGCTCATTTTCAGTGCAGCTTTTATTCTTTTGCTTCTTCTTTCATATATCTCATCACCTCTGAGTGTTAGACAAGGGAACACATGCTTCTTTTCAACAGTTGGTTGTTTAGATCTCTAAGTAAGTTCTTTTCAATGCTTCATAATAAATTTCTTCGGATATCCATTCTCTACAAGAGCCTTCTCAATGATACCGAATTCTTCTTGTTGTTTTTTTTTGAGCATAGCGTTCTCATTCTAGTGACTAGCGTCCGGACTAAATCACGTTTATGGCAGATAGGGCAGAAATGATTATAGTGAAAGTACTGACCAATCTGCGTGTATTTCCCGTGTATAGTTTTATGAACACATCTCCATCTGATACTCAAATCCGAAAAATTGAATGTTTTCTTTTTCGTATCTTATTGTAAAATTCGTATCTGGATGAGCTTCGTTGAAGGTATCCATTAATTTTGACACACGATTCATATTATCATAAACAATGAAGATGTCATCAATATACCTACTGTAATATGTCGTTTCCTTCATCGCAGATTTCAGACATGTTTGTTCTAAAAGAGCTAGGACAGGTCCTAGTGGTGAACCTATAGCCACTCCATCAGTTTGCCAGTATAGTTGATTATTAAGCTGGAACTGAACACCTTTTGTACAGAGGAGCAGTAATTGCTTGAGTTCCGTTTTCGTCAATAGGAGTAGATCAGACTGTCTACAGATTGTACCTATCGTTTCATCCACTGCTATGTTCGTAAATAATGAGGAAAATCAAGTGATACCATGAATCTGTCTGAGACATCCAATCTATTCAGTTCTTGAAAGAATTGGAATATATCTCTCACTTATGATTTGGGAACCTTTTCCTGATGGGTTTCAATTTCCTTGCTAACCAACGAGCCAATTTGTGATAAGGTGAATTTATCATAGCCTAACGTTTTTCCAGTTTTTTCGTGTAATTACGTGACCTACTTAACAACCCCCCGTTTCCACAGCCCCTGAATTTTCTTTCTCATCAAAGATAAATTGCCATTAGTTTTGACCAAGATTTGTGATTATTAATCCTGTTAATCCTAGATTTCAAATCTTCATGTATTTCTGTATATCTAAAGTGTGTTATGTCATTATTACTACTAGTAGTTCATTTCAATTGTAGACTGTTTGCAGCTGATGAAAGGCTGCGAAATAAACGAGCTCATTTTATTCTGCAAATGTTTTACTTCTTGCATTGTTCAAATTTGTCAACGGAACTAAATGTATGATATTTCTAGATAATTATTCACTAACCCCAGGGGTGATTGAGTCCAGAAAATAAGAGTCGGTCATAATTCTACTCTATTAGGAATTACTGGTCACATTTGTATCTTCCTGTTAGTTTTTTAAACCCTGTGTTCATTGTGTTTCTTAGTTCAAGTGTTAGATCAGTGGTTTTGTGATTGTTAGTCTTACTGTTTCCCTTTAATAAACTGAAGTTATTTTCAGATAACATCACTTTAATTGTATGATTTAAATCCTGTGGATAGCATTTGATTGTAGAAAACTCATTGTTAGGGTTATAATCACTATTGTTCATCATATTTGGCATTTATCATCACTCTTCTGATTGTCAATCATACCTGTTCTCTTTATTGGTAATGTGTCTGGGTTTTTAGTTTGTTTTCAGCATTGTAGCATCATTGTTTGCTCCTTCCTCAGATAATTGACTAATATAATTATTTAGATCCGTAGAGATGAAATTTTGTGGCTGATAGTCCAAGTATTGGTATCTAACCGGTTGGTCACCACTCTTATGTTCATGCAGTTAACTTTACGTATATTTTAGTCACTGGTAGATTTAATATCTTAAAGGATTTTTAGAAGTAACCTTCTTAATGAACTTTCATAGAGTTGAAATGGTGGGGAATTAGTATAGCTCAAGTGGATGATCTTCATTGTGTTGGGTTTTCTGAGCTGAATGGTTTAGTCGTAAAGCCTACATTGTCTTACTAGGTAGCATTATCAGCACTAACTTCAATTTAAAGTGAGCTACCAGGATTTCTCTGTGAGTGATTTGCTAACTACTGAGTCAGTATAAATGACTAACTGATACATACAGCTTGAAACCTGGCAATTTACTGCTGCATTACTTTAAAGTGAACCCTTGAATATCTATGATAGAATCGAATAGACCAAACTGAGAAACACGTTTGTTGTAAGGTAGGTTTGATTCACAAGCGTACTAAATAGCCAAAGAAGTGATTAGCTATTATCCATATGTTCTCATTTAAAATGAAATTTGTATTTTCTTTCAGATTTACGTTTGTTTACCGCATTACAAGCTATCTCCTGTCCCGTTCAAACTCTCTTCTCGATCAACACCATCATTTTCAGTTCAACCTACTGCTAATCCAAGTGATCGTTCAGCCGAGTGGTTAGATAGCCCATCAGTTATTCTTCCACCAAGTGATCCTGTGTTAATTAACGAGGGCTTAGTTTATCATCAACCTAGTGAAGGTCCAGTTGTTTGGGTACCGAAATGGGAAATTATACCTTCAGGTTTTGTCAGTTTGTTTTTAACGAATCTTGGTACACATGCTCCTTCATACTTATATGCCCTAGGACGAGAATTATTTCACTCAGCAGATATTAAGACCGCTATGCTATTGAATCAATAGTTTATATAATTTCTGTACAAAACTTGTTAAAAATAAATTTGTTGTTCACTGGGGTTTATTTTATATTCAAGACAACCTTAAAATGTCCTTCAGAATTTCAAGTAGATCTTTTAAGTAAACAAAATAATTTAACAGATATCTGGTCTTAAAAATGTGTACTCAGTAGGAAACAAAATTAAAAGGGTCTTGAAATAACTTGTTCGTAAACTATATTCTAGTTTTTATTTCTTTATAAAACGGGGTTGTAAGTAAAATTTAGATATCTAATATCTGCTTCCCAGCTTCCTCCCTGAAGAAGCTCGGACCAAACTTCCATGCGAAGCGTTGGAATTATTTGATTTCAGACCCTCTGTGACTTACACAAATACAATCTATATCTAATGTTTATTAATTGATTGTCCCGACTAAAATGATAAGTCATGTGGTCGTTGCCTTTTTGTGACCATTATAGATTTGATGGAAGTACTAATCATGTGTGGACCAAATTGAAACACTTCGCACCATCATACAACAGAGTATAGAATGGCAGTCAACTCAACCTCAAGTTCATCGACTTTGAATAGGTCTTTGACAGCGTCGGGCGAGAGGTAATTTGGCAGTTGCTTCAACACTAAGGAATACCACAAACCTTTATCAGTCTCATTCAGCAACTATATGAAGACGCCACATGCCAAGTAATTCACAATAGGAAGCTCAGTGATGCCTTTGAGGTGAATACAGGAGTAAGACAAGGCTGTCTACTATCACCCATGATCTTCCTGATTGTAGTGGACTGGATCATGCAAAAAACTGTGAGGAGCGAGAAGAGGTGGATACGCTGGACTGGGGAAAAGAACCTAGAAGACTTGGATTTCGCCGATGATGATTTATGTCTAATGTCACACAAACTTGAAGATGTACAGGCGAAAACTAACAAGTTGACATAAAAGGCAACGAAAACGGGACCTCAAGTTAATGTAGAGAAGACAGAGGTGATGGAGATACCCAACCGACACCATCACCACCAACAACCATCTCCAATCACCATGAATCGGAGAAACTTAAAGGAAGTAGTCTCTTTCACCTACCTAGTCAGCACTGTTTCAACTACAGGCGGCGGCACTGATGAGGACGTTAAAGCCAGGATTGGAAAAGGGAAACTGACGTTTATTAACCTGGAACCAATGTGGAGATCTTCTGCACTCAGCATGTTGAACAAGATTCGGATTTTCAACACCAACGTCAAGTCAGTGCTTCTGTATGGCTCAGAGCCTTGGCGGGTTACGAAATGCATTTCCAACAAACTACAGGTATTCATCAACAACTGCCACCTACACTGGCTGGTTACTGAAGCTCAGATGGCCAGAATCATAAGAATAAGCAAGAAGGAACCCTAGTTGGCTGGCTGGCTGACTGGCGACGAACGAATGTAGCAAGAAGCTATCGCTGAAGAAATATGCAGTGGAAGGAAATGGAGATGGATTGGGTATGCACTGAGAATACCATTGGAGGACATCACGCGTACTCGAGTGTAACCCAGATGGGGAACGACGAGTTGGGCGTCCGAGCTGATGGTGACATGGAGGAGGTCGTGCGAGAAAAAAATGAGAGCTCCTGGGCTGTTGTGGAGGCAGGTTCAAATGTTTGCAGAGAAGAGGGTTTACTGTAGATGTGCTACTGAAGCCCTATGCTCCATTAAGAATCCCAGGGACAAATAATAATAATAATAGGTTTGATGGATGATATTTAGTCTTAGGAGGTTTCATAAATGTGTATCAAGGAGCAACAATGAACTTAATAATACTACTAATAATAATAATAGCTTTATTCCAAACAGGACTTGCGGCACAGTATGGAATTCTCAGCATGTAATAGTTCATCAAATTCATTTCTTGTACTATACTCCTAAGCGAAAAATTTACTACATTTGAATGGTGTTAATAATAACAGTAATAAAGTCAACAATGTGAAACAAGCACCTGGTGTTATATTAGCATTTGATTTAGACTGGTGAATAAACAGGATGTTGAGAGTAATTTTGGTGGTGGTAGTTTATTCCGCCAGTACCGAAATCTACAATTCGACGTAGTTATCCTGTATTTCTGCGCAGTTTCTAAGCCCATCTCTTACCGGTTTATCGTCTATTCTTTATTTTGTTGTTAGCTTGAAAAAAGGGCAGTTCGAAACTATTTTAAAGTGTAAAAAAGTACTTAACGTGTTTAAAAGACATTTAAAAGATAGAAACAAGTTGAAAGGGATGAATTTGGTGAAATAAGTTCCATGGAAAATTTCCAACGGCCTAAAGTTTAGGTAGGGCGCCACTATGACTGTTAATTAGTCAACCTAACGTTTTTCCAGTTTTTTTCACGTAATTACGTAACCTGCTAGCTCTTTCACAACTCCTTTTACATTCCTGTCTGTTTATTTTTCCCCTCTTTCCGCAGCTCCAGAATTTTCTATCTCATATGATATAAATTGCCACTGATTTCGACTAAGGTTTGTGATGAATAATCCTGTGTTTCGTCGACTCACCGTATTGAAAAGCCATTAACTCTAAGTCTTTTCTGAATTTTATTTTAATATAGAAATGGATTCGTATATGTCTTAAGTGAAATATCTGTGAATGACTAACTTTAGAAATACACGAATCGATCATCTTGTGGTAGGTTATATAACCCACATGATAAGTTTCTCTCTAGGGAGTGTTCAGTTTTGTCATTAAGCTAAGTAATATGATACAGCGATAAGTTATGTTCCGGTGTTGCATATTAAAAGTCAATCGATAGGAATCTTTGAACCTTAGGCTTCATACTTGTGAGCATTCATCAACGAGGTATATCTTAAGAATTGTTCAGATTTTACAAGTAGTGAGTATTTCTCCCATAAATCAAAGAGGTGTATGAAAAACAACTGGATACGTTGGGCTTAATAGTCGATTAAAAATAGAACCATCAGCAACAGAATGGACAAGTCTTAGGAATTCATACGTTACAATATGTGAAAGTGAAATAGTTGTGTTTTTTGAACAAATGTAAGTAATTAAAAAAAGAATATTTTAACGAGCATATTAGCAATGGAGTGGTCTCTCATTTTTAATCACCATAACTTTTTATTGCCCCGAAGTTTAGATAAGAGCTCTACCAACTTATTTCCCGAAAGCAAGTCATCACCAGGTTACACAGACGTTGACCTAATCACAGGAGAATTTTCGTTACACCTAGAATATGCAGATGACATAGTCCTGTCAAGTGAAGATGCTGACAAAATGTGGAGTCTTCTGAACACTTTGAGTGTCAATTTGAGAATGTCCCGGATGCGGTTTTCACCATCCTAATGCAAATTTTTGCACCAGGATTGATCTTCAGCAGTACCACTCTAACAATAGAGAGTGAAGTAATTGAGTGTGTTGACCACTTCACTTACCTGGCAAGTAGGATCAGCCCTGGTGCACTGGTCAGTTGCCGATCAAATCTCTGCATGGATACAAAAGACTCGATTGGCTTTTGCCAATTTACGCCACCTATGGTGCCACCGTGATATCCGATTGTCTATTAAGGGTCGCGTCTACTGCACAGCAGTCCGGTCTGTTCCACTGTATGGCTGTAAAACATGGCCATTGAAAGTGGAAGACATGAGAAGGCTTCAGGTGTTTGACCATCGTTGCCTTCGTAGTATAGGACGTATTCCATGGTGTCACCACGTGAGTAATGCAGAAGTCAGGTATAGAGTTTTAGGGAGTATAGGTAAATCAGTTGACGAGGTTGTGAACCTTCATTGACTGAGATGGTTGGAACACGTGTTGCATATGCCTAGTCCCCGATTGCCTCGTCACACAATGTTGGCCGTACTAGGTCCAGGCCGGATAAAGGCCCGAATCTCACCATTTTCTCATCCTTCCTTTCTTTCTTCTCGTACTTTGTACTTCTTCTGACCTGATTTTCTTATCTTCATCTTGCGCCTCACTGATATGAGGAGTGGCACCTCGGACTGTTGCGCAGTGATGCCTGGTTCTATGTTGATAATGATGATGAAGTAAGTAGAAATTTACTTATCTTTTTGGCAGGAAGAGTTGTAGAATGAAATACTTCCTGAACAATGTAAAGCTTATAGCAGAAATCGTTTTTATCATTAGTTAGTGTTGTAAATCTGAAATATAGTTCTTCGAAGCACGATTTAAAAAACGAAGAACAAATGGCTAATCAGGGGTATATCTGAGCTGCTTAATCTTAGCTGTGTACATTTTCATGCGAATATTTTTTTTGAGACGTGGATATGACAGTGTGTCACTGAAATCCTTGGGATTAAGGTAGTGTAATGGAAATGTTCATGAAATTGCAAATTGATAAGTTGCCTAACATTAAAAATATATCAAGAAGGAAATGTGATGCTGAAAACCACGGAAATAATTCCTATCACGTAGGCAGTTGACAGAATAAAAGAAAGAGAGTAGAGTTGGGAGAGATTGAATGACTGTTTTATCTGTATAAGTCTCCAGATTTTCTCTCTGAATGGCTAAACCTTTGTTTATACGAAGGATATGAAGAAGTACTCTCTCTAGCAGGCTACTTTTCGCTTTAGTTGAGAAGTCTGCATAAATTAATTACTACTCACGAAAACATTACTAGATATTTGTTGCCTTATCGGAGTATTCTTTGACACTTTTAGACAGAATGCGCACAACTAAAGGTTGCTATGCACTCAGCTTCATAGGAATTGTTGGAGTCGTATAAAAATATAGGCCTTATCCTTGTTGTTATTTAGGAATTGGCTGTTGGAGTACAGTATCTTCTTCATTAGGATGTTTGCAGCTTCATCCCTTTCCGAGTGATGCTTCTCATACCTGGAGACATCTTCCTAAAGTTTACACATTTTTTGATGATCTGTGGTTTAGATACTTTAAACCGTATATTTATCAGATACAATTAAATTGCGTGTACAGCGCATAAACACGAAACCACAGAAGCTTGCCGAATACTTAGCTCATATCGGCTTTCCGGAAGTTGACTTCCTCAACTTTTCATCAGTGTTATTTATCAGTTCCACATCGAGGAGTTGATGTTTAGACCCGTTTTC